GCAGAAAGACCGATACTGGATTTCTCTTTCATCAAGGTTCTTCATTGACAGCACGAGAAATAGAAACAGATTCTACAAGCCTATTCTTAGCATTTACACATATTTCAATTGTGGAACCTACAGATAAATACCATTTAATATGGATTTTAAAAACATTTGGTAGTATCTGTAGTGCTTCTTAAGTTATGTGCTACTTTTGGATGCTTATGCATCTAATTTAAATATTATAAAGATAGTTTTTAATTTATTTTGATCCCATTTATGTGTTTTAATCATCATTTTATAAGGAAAATGCATTTTCAATTATTTGGAAAATGGACATCGTCCACGATATGAACAAAGCTATTTGCAGGGCACATCTGTAAGTGTTAATTGCTATCCTGGCTTCACGCTTCCAAACAAGCAGACCTCAATGACCTGTACGGAGAATGGCTGGCTCCCTCCTCCCAGGTGCATCCGTGTCGGTAAGAAAACTGGTCTAAGATCCAGTCTGTTTGTGATTGTCTAAGACTCACCTGTAATAACGGTGGCAAAAGGTTTCTGTCAGCTTCCTATTTTGCCAATGGCCCTAATTGGTTTTATTTTTTCAAGTGTGTAAAGTGGAAACGCCAATTTCTTGATATATAACTAGCAAAATAAAGAAGCCTATTGGTAGACATTAATTAAAAACAAAACAAAACAGGAAAAGAGCCCAAAGAGCAAACCTGTAATAACAGTGTCATGAGCAAGATGGCTGATTAGGAGGTTCTGTCATCTTCCCCACAAAGAACAGGGATTCTGACAATCACCCCGCATGAGGCTCCGGGAACCCAGCGAGAAGTTTCACACACCATTGGGGCCAAGGGCCCACACTGGATGCCCCGCAGGCTCTGAGAGCAACAATTTCACCCCGTGTGACTTCTCCCAGAGTGCTCCTCTTGGGGGTTTGAGGTTGGACACCCCAAGTCCTACTGGCTTGATGTTCTGTGTTGGAAGACTAGGCTGTTCCGGTCAACGTGATCTAGTCAAGGCTTGTTTTCATGGGATAAGGCTGGTGTGGGAGCCTCTACACAGAAGAGTTTATTCAGGGTCTGGATGGAGAAGGCCTCTTCTAGTCTCTCTACTAAGTGATTTGTGTTTAAGACCTGTTCCCATGTGTCTGATTAATCTGAATGTTCCCAATGCTGTGTGTGCCCTGGGATCTTGGAATTTGTTGTTTCCTGGCAGGTCTTTCCTCTGGTAGTTGTGCTCCACCCATTCTCAGGGGGTTCCGCCCTCCACTCCAGGGGGATGTAGTCACCAAAGAATCTAGGATCGTTGTGCAGGTTGGTAGAGCTCTCCCCCCCCATTCCAGGGGTCCTTCCTCTCTGGTTATGGACATTCAGAGTCTGGCGGTGTCGGCCCCTTTGGGAACAGCGCCTTCGTTTCTCCTGTTCAGTAGGACTGACACATGTGCTTGGGTTTTCCCTTCCTGTGCTGTGATCTGGGAAGTTCCCACCTCCCAGCAAAGCCCTGGTGAGAATGGAGAGCCCATCGGTAACCATGTGTCTCAGGAACAATAGTTAGGCACTGGCTGTGTCCATATGCCTCACAAGGTCATGTTCATAGATTTGGCTCCGTTTCCTCATTGTGTCTGTGTGGCTGGCACTCTCTTCATTGTTCTTTCCGTGTGTTTATCCATTTTAGTGCATATTTTCAATGAAGCACCTTTTGACTCTGTATTTTTTCTCTAGTGTTTGGTTTCTAGTTGATTCCTGCTCGTATATTTCGGTTTTCCAGTTGGTTTTCCTTTGTCAGTAGGAATGGGGTGTAACTGAAAATGGGAATTGCATATGTTTAACGTGGACAGCTTTATATTTTAATATAAGCACACGTGGTGACATGACCACCAGCTGAAGCTGCGTAGCGCATCCATCACCTCACAGAGGTGCCATTGCTTCCCATGGGGTGAGAACACTTAAGCTCCACCCTCTTAGCAATATTGACACCCAATCAGGCACAGGAAAGGGGCCTGTTGCTAGGAGAGCTCCGGCGGGCTGGGGGCTTCCAGATTCATGAGGCAAACCGATTTTTAATAATTTCTTACAAGGCATCCTGAGTGTTTTAAATCTGGCTTAGTTCCCCCAAATGTTTTTAACATCTAGATTTAATATTTTTGAAAACTCATAACTTAACTTCTCCGACACAATGCTTTGAATGATTAGGAATTTTCCAGGTTTTCATTGACAAATGGCCCTTATTTCTCATGTTGTAATGTTGTGCGAGTCCTTAGGAAACTGTTTCCTGACCATATGCTTACCGTTTCCTTA